TTCGTTATTTCTAAATGTTACTGATACTAGCTGAGGGTGCACATTAAGGAAGCAAGACTTATATAAACAACAGTGTTAGATAATGTTCCTCCTCATTTTAAATCCCTAATGACCTCGTTAGATGCTAATTACATATTCTGGTTAGAGGAAGTAGTGATTAAGTATTTGTGTCTTTAAATTCAAAGCCAAAGTCCTTTAAAAAAAAAGATGAAAATGTGCCTTGTTTAGAGAATGTTGTATCACCTTTCTCTGACAAAACTTTTAAAATGAAATAGCTCGTGTAAACCGTCGGACAGTTTCCAGTTACATTACTAAAACTTACGGTAGTCGAACCATCAAACTCTGAGTGATGGATACTAACACACACGCAAGTATATTGGATCGTATTTATAGTAAGACAGTTCTAATTTAAGCTTACTTGTTTTTTAACTTAGACGTGGGTATTGTATTTTGGTCAAGAACAGTTTGAGAAGTATAAAACACAAATTAAGCTAGAGTAGATGATATATTATTGAGTTAGTGAGTGAGTTTGTTAGTCAGTTAACGAGAAATTTAGTGCATAATTTAGGCAGTTTGTCTGTTGCTATCAGCCAATTAGTAAGTTCAGTGCTGTACATTTTGAGTTTGTGCTTGGGACGAAGTACAAGAAATACGAAATTAGCTAGTAAGTATTAGTCATTGTCTAGTTGTTAAGTTATTCATATTTACTTACGTAAAACTATGGAACTTAAATTGAAATTGTAGTTTAAGAAATAAAATACTTTCATTATTTTTAAGAGTACTGGGTCTTGTTTTTTACTTGAATAATCCAAAATAACCCACCGAATTGTAGAGATATTACATCATGGTTGTCAAGGGTTGGGTTATTTGGGTAAAAATAAAATACAAATTGAGCTTCATGAAAATGACACGTGCTTAAAGAGATATTATAAATATGCTGGAAATGATGAAATAGTGAAATTACGACCAATAAAAAACTCAGAAAGAAGAGAAAAAAAATTAAGATCAAGAAGAAAACAAAAGAAAGTTAAAAGATCACGAAGAAAGATACAGAAATTTGCCAAAAGACAAGAAAATAATTGGGTTTGGCTTCATTGATGTCGTTTTGTACTTAGTGTTTTAATCATTGACGTCTTTTTATAAACTTTTGGCTTACATTAGATTAATTTTTGTTCCTAGTTTTCTGTGAATATTGTCTTAGTCTTGTAATTCCTTTCTTACTTCTTCGCTTTTTTTCAACTTACTGTTTTTTTTGTGGGCGGGGCATGGCTTGGTGGTTATGGGGCTCAACTCGCAATCTGAGGATCGCGGGTTCAAATCCGTGTCACCGAACTTGCTCGTTCTTTCAGTCATAAGGACGATATAACGTGACGGTCAATTCCACTATTCGTTGTTAAAAGAGTAGCCCAAGAGTTGGCAATGGGTGGTTTTGACTAGCTGTCTTTTTTCTAGTCAATCACAAACACACTTACATTTTATGACCACTTGGTGTTCGAATCAATTCATCATACTGCTTCAACTTTGTAAGTAACATCATAGCTTTTATTACTAGACCAGGTCGTAACAGTCCTTTCATACATTTTCTATGGCTTATGCGATACTGTGTTACAATCATTTTATAATTCACTGATGTCATTATGTTCTTCCTTTTTTAAACTTCACTGACGTCATTTTTTACTTACTGCATTTACACCATATTTTACTCCATCTTTGTCATTTTTTCTTCGTATTTCGTTGTTACTTTCCTCTGTAAGCCACATCAGTTTGTGGTTTTCTTTTCCATGCCTGTTGGTAGGAATATGGGATGTGTGATTTCTGTTTCTTTATCATGTCTTCCCACACATGTGGATACACATTGGCAGCGAAATCAGTTATCCAGTTGGTCATTCTCTTGCCAATGTACTTCTTTGTCTTTGGTTTCGACAGTTGTCTTTTTGTATTCTACTCTATACTTTCATCATTGTTGCCTCTGAAAGCTCAACCCTTGGTGGGGTAATTGCCATGTAGTGCACAGTGATTTCCTGGTCACAAACTGTAAAATTGTTTGAAGCTAGTTTATGATCTCACAAACACTCTTGCTGTACGTAAAATTTCAATGCGTCATTTCGGGTAGAGAAGTTTCTCACTGTGAAAGTTACCTCTAGCTTTATATTTGTGGCACATTAAATTTTGATTTCCATAATTAACATTAAAGTGATTTTTGACAGTTAAAAACATTAATATTAATAAGTATAGACATTTCAATTTTTACGTTATTAATTAGATATGTCACACAGAATACAATCAAAATTATTTTATTAAGAGAGGCTCTTCTTTTTTTTACACCTTCACTGTATCTAAACTGTTTAGTAAATGATGGATTATTTTAGTCGGATTTGACCGTGATTGTTACAGCGCGCCCACAGTCCAAAAGTATAGAACGTATTATTGTAGCAGTTAGCCACACATTTGTGATCATAACAAACAGAACTGAGATGAGAGCTTGAAAAAGAGCTTAAATAAAAAAGAAATATAGATGACGATATAATGAAATAGCCCTAACTTCATAAACAAGTAATATTTAATCAGAAATTTCACCTACTTACTAATATCGTATCTTTAATATTTCATGGTAAACATAAACTTAAAGTTTATAACAATAAACTAACTAACTGGCTAGCAGAAACAAACAAACTGACTAAATCATGCAAAAAATACTCATTAACTAAAAGACATGCTTAATAATCAGCAGTAATAATCATCTACTCTAGCCTAGTTGAAGTTTTATCTTGTTCAAACTGTTTTAAAATTCCAGTCATTAAAACATGATAGTCACTCTAAATCAAATAATAATAAATAATAAAAAATAATAAAATAATAAAATGTTATTTTTTTTTTTACATAATATAGCTTACAACACTGTTCCTTCCCTGGATTGCGAAGATCCTTAAACAATACTATTATACAAATAAAACAAAAGAGTATCACAAGATTTAGCCATTTTCACTGTTAACTAGTTGCCTTTCTTTTAATCTATCAGTTCAATATTAGAGATGACTATCAGCAAAAATTGTAAAAACCAATTTACTTGCACATGATGACTAGTGACTATAGTTTTCATATTTAACTATTTCCATGGGTACTAATAGTTACCTTAATATATGGATTTAGGACTAGCTTCAGTCTCATAAGCTGGGCGAACCTCATATGATTATTGGGTCTACAGCGAAGGAACCCAACTGGTGAAACATTGCATTCTAATCTATATACGATACATCTATATCGTACATAAGAACGGTATATTTGTTAGCTATACTCATGTTTATTTTTAATTTTGATTTAATTAGGTAGTTAACTCTTATTGGAGGTTAATATTTACTAATCAGCCAATAAGTATGACATGGCTTAACATCGAACGGATACTATCAAATAGCATATTGTACAGTTTAAAGCTGGACGTTATCTAGTGATTAGAGCGTCTGGCTATGGATCAAGGGAATCGGGATTCGAAACGTGATGCTGTTGAACAGTTTTCGCACTTGCATCTGTGGGCGTATTATAAAAACAAGAGTCAATCCCCTGAATCAGTTTAAAAGAGCTACATTAATCCCTTGTGATTCGGGTGCTATTAGTCAGCTGCTTTCGCTTTGGCCAGTAGTTCAAAATTAGATACAACTTTACGTAAATCTCATGGGTGTGTGACCTAGTTGTTTATCCCACGTGTGCATAAAGTGCCGTTTCGGTTGAACATTTTTATTCTGATTCTACTCAGTTATTTTAAAAAAGCAAGAACAGAGTAATTCATAAACTGAGTTCGCTTTACACGTACTTTTTCTGCTTTATTAAAAACAAAGTTAGTAATTTCACGGTAATAAAATAAAATCAACTTTGAAAAAAAAGAAGGCAGAATTTAATTTAGTTGTATGCTCATTACTACACATGATAGTTGTTATTATTATAAAAATCGAATCAGTTACTGCCTGTTACTAGAAATAATCGAGTAATTTGAATACTTTGTTAAAAGATAGATTACTAGCAGTATAACTTTTGAAAATATAAATCATATTATTTGATAAGAATGACCGCTTCTCTTCAGTTCTTTGTAGTTGATAACGAACTCTGATAAGTGGCAGTGTTGTGACAGCCAGATAACTTGAGTAATTAAAAGATATCTTTCTATCAGTATTTATTTATAATCAATCATTTTCATCTTCTCATTGGCATTTGGATACGAGAAGACGTCTACAATAAGTAAAATAACACATCAAAAACACTAATACGTGTGGTGTACAAAAAATAATATATTCATAATAAACAGGCAGTAAAAGTACATAATCATTAAATATCGTATCATTATCAAAATCAGCATTCTAAACAACCTATCTGTATTAGTAGAAACAACTGAGCCATTAAAGAATGAAAGAACCGTTATAAGTTTTAGCAAATTATCCTTCCTAAAATGGCAATGTCAAAAAGTATAACAATAAAAGTGGACATTGATAATAATGTCGTTATGTTTTATGTGACATGTTGATTTTTGGGTATTCACCAAATACTTTGTGAAAACTTATCTTGTTTATACTTCCGTATCTTTTGATGATAATGGTCATACGAGTCTTAAATCCTTCCGTACAAGTTTCAATAAATATTTTATCACATATTACAATTGTCATTTAATAACATTGCATCATCACCTGGATTCCTATCTGTTTCTATGGGGTTTCAGTATTAAAGACTGTTATTTACATTGAACTTGAAGTTGTTTCTGTAACAAAAATGTATTATCGAGCTTCCATTTATATGTTTTGTAGCTCTAAGACTCTGTAAAACACTTCATTTAGTTTAACTGTCACGAATTCTGCTAAGTGTCAGGTCTTGGCTGCAGGAACCCAAACACTATCCACAAATACAACCTTCATATCGCCAATTTAGTTTATCGTTTACAAACTGCAGTCCTGTGTGTCATAAGTAATATAAACTAAGATGGTCGTTAAGTAAGTTATCTCCCCATACAGCGCTAACAGAGTCTCTGTCCATGAAAATGATAATGCTGGATGTCCCATCACCTACTAGAGTAGGCCAGGCTGTAGAGCTGGTATGTAACTACGACTTGGAGGGAGAAACTCTGTATTCAGTGAAATGGTACAAGAACGGAATAGAGTTTTACAGGTTTGTTCCTAACGACTGGCCTCCAGGACAGTTTCTCACGCTTCCAGGAATTCATGTAGACGTAAGTAGATTCTCTTTTTCTGTTTGGATAAAACGCTTCCGTTTACTTACCTTTACAACAAAATTATACAAACTGTTCAAAAGAATAAAGCAATTTTCTCTTAGATTAAACTACAGTTAAATACATCTTAAATAAACTAGCTTCGTAATTAGGTACTAATTAAATATATTGGGTTTGAATTTGTCCTCGATCATGAATATATTTTTCAATTCTGTTACATAAGTTTGTTTAAAGACGACGTGTGATGCATGCTGCTAGCTCTGGTAACAGTCCTGGTCATTGAAGAGATGGCTCTTCAAGAAATTAACACATATTTCATGGTGTGATGCATTGTTAATATTTCATAGAGATGCCAAATATAAAACTTCAAAAATTCGAGAAAGGCTTAAACATGTAAAAAACCATCTGGTACTCCCATTATCTGTAACGAAAAAAAATTAACTGCTCTAGATTTTAGAATTGCCATTTTAATAACTCATTGGACTCATGATAATTGCTCACATACACAAACACCGAATGCTCCTATACTTAACTCACACACACAGAGAGAAATATCGCACTGAACACTGTACCATTAAGCTACACACACGAAAAGATAACACCAAATGTTTCTCACACACAGAAAGACAGGATTGACTGAACATTGTACCACTAGCATGCACACACACACACATAAGTTAACACCGAAGTGTTCTCCAAACAAAAAAGAAAACAGGACTGAATGAACTATTACTAACGACACGAACACATTGCACAGAAAGAGAACAAGACTGAACACTGTACCATCAACATGTGCACACGGAAAGATGATAGTTAGTGATCAACTTACACGGAAAGACAGCAGTGGATGCTCTTTCCGTTAATATGCCTAGTCAAAAATAACATTAGATACTCATTTATCAACTCACTCGGAAAGATGATAGGTAGAGATCAACTTACACGGAAAGACAGAAATGGGTACTCTTTCCATTAGTATGCCTACTCAATAATAACACTGAATGCTCATTTATCAACTCACTCGGAAAGATGATAGGTAGAGATCAACTTACACGGAAAGACAGAAATGGATACTCTTTCCATTAATATGCCTACTCAATAATAACACTGGATGCTCATTTATCAACTCACTCGGATAGACGATAGGTAGAGATCAACTTACACGGAAAGACAGAAATGGATACTCTTTCCATTAATATGCCTACTCAAGAATAATACTGGATGCTCATTTATCAACTCGCACGGAAAGAAAAGAATGAATACTTTACCACTAATAAAAATCATCGAAAATAACAATAGGTGCTCATTCATTAACTTTCAAACCGAAGTATAGAAACTAAACATTGTACAGTCTTGGCCAAAACATTTGAATATTTTGTGACAAATAATATCAATATTATTAGGATCGAATACAAATACTTTTACGTACACTTAAACGCATTTTCTAGCATGTTTAGGTATTTAATATACATGAACGCATATTTTCATGTCAACAAATAATATTACTAGTAACAAGGACGGTATACTAATGTCAGAAACGTTGATGGAGTAGGTAAAAATAAGTAAAACATTCAACTTGAAGTTTAAGGAAAAGTCGGGTAAACAGGAAGTTAGAATGCTATGTTATTAATCGTTTCTATATAGCTATTTTATTGCCCTTTTGAAACGTTTATCTTAAACTAATTCTTGGTAAACTAAGCTATAGTACAACGTACATAAGGCTTAGAAACATTCATAGCTATTATATATTTCTCTAACTTCAGCCATTTAGAAAATTCAAATTTAACTGCTTGAAGCAACCAGTTAATTAGTTTTTTAAAGCACGTACATTACAAAAAGAGATAGTATATTTTGTGTCGTTTTCTGAAACACGCTAAAGCAATCTTGGTAGAAAAATTATATATGTATGAACATATGCACTAACCTGCTATTATTTTCTTTAATGAATGTTGTTTATATTCATAAGTAAACTATGTTAATTCCACAATTACCTAAACTCTTAAAGGGTAGAAATGTTTTTAATTTTTTATCTGTTGTTTGTTCAAACATGAGAATGCGGATTTATAATTCCAGTAATTAGTTTTAGATGTTCTTTAAACATATTTATATACTCTGCTTTGTAGTAAAAAGTATCTGTACAGAAAAATATTGAAAATGTAACGTGGCCCATGCATTTCGCTCAGCAAAGGAAAACATTCCAGACTTGCAGTGGAGAAATGTGGGCGAAATGAAATCATAATTTACGTGAGTTTGGAAGTGGAGAGATCTCAAGATATAGAAAATTTAGAAAGAGCATCAAACAGTTTCCTTTCAAGTGTCGCGAAATATTTCTGATCTTTAGGAGCTAGAACAATAGTTTAGTCCCAATGAGAAGCAAAGGATCAACCCAACCTGCTCCAGGCAATCTTGTAACCTAATTTTGAATGTTGTTCAAGTTATGTATTTTAGACGTAAATGAAACACACACAACCTTTTTTGTACAATTTAATGTCTACAGTGTTTTAAATTTGAAGATGAAGCATTGACGCAATATTTTCTATGCCATGTATAACTACGCCAAGCGCATAGAAACTTTTAACGCCAACCGTAACGGCTGTGTTTCAGCAACCGAAAATCTACTTACTGCTTGCTACACGTGTTTATCGGTTGGCGGTCAAACAACGGAAATCAAAAGGTGTCTGTAGAATTATGTTAATTTGGTCTTCCTTTATAATATTTCGATGCTTATTGGAAATTCCAAAGTTATATCAATCTTTTCTGAGTTCTTTAATCATATCGCAAATATTACTCTACATAAAAACACGCCTTTTTTAATGAAAAATCCCTCCCAAAAAATTACAGATGCCGGGTTCAGTTTTTGGGTCTTCATGGATTTAGCAAGCCCTGATTCCAGTGATTGCTCACTTTCGATCTAGTTTCCAGGATATTACATAACAATCTTGGGAATTTCACAATGTAAAATATCAAAATTAGTTAGATTGACCAAAAATGCTGTCTGATTGTGAGATATGTTCACTTGTTGGAACAATGGAAAAGTGCTAGAAATCACCTTTACAACACATGCATAGTTCCTTCTTATGTCCATATTTGAACAGATGTTACCTGTGAGACCTGTAGCGTGTTGCGTGTTCCCCAGGATTTGGATACATTTGAAGTGTTTGAATGTGCAAATCATATATTAACTTCAAGAAAACGTACTTCCGTTTTGCCTCTATTGAAGTCTATTAGCATTAATAGCCTTACAACTGGTTACGGATGTTATAGTGCTGAGAGTCATTTCGTTTACTATTAAAGTGATGGCAAGTAAACAATTCAACTATGAGCGACTTGACTGGTTTGAGCATATTGTATATAATTAGGTCTGCGTATTTTCACTGTGCTGCCAAAAATGGTTGGCTGAAAAGGTATACTCCGACGTTACGCACGCATGGAAACGGTCTTGACAATCGTGCAACAATGTTTCGAGTTGTTCTCTGGTTTGAAAGCAACAATGAAAAATTTTCATATCACATTATTCGTTCTTGGCCAGTCACTGTAAGTAATTCATGGTAGGAGTAGAATAGTGTAATTTGATCAGGTTAATAAGAGTAGCCCCCAGTTGCACAGCGGTATATCTGCGGATTTACAACGCTAGAAACCGGGTATCGATACCCGTGGTGGGAAGAGTACAGATAACCTATTGTGTAGCTTTGTACATAACTACAAACAAACGAACAATAATAAGACTATAAAATCATAAATCGCATATGATTAAGTAAATTAAGATACATTTGATACAGTTAACGTAATTTTATAATAGAAAGCCTCCAATCAGTAATAAAGAAGATGAGATGATTTAATCCATTTAGTATAAATATAAAAACAAGAAACTTCATCTCATTAATCATGAGATAAGATGATATAATTGATCCCCTGAAAAAACAAACCAGAAACCTCATGTCAGTATTCATAAGACAATGTAATTGGGTCCAGTTAATGTATGTGAAAAAAACTAACCAAGTACTTCATGTCAGTAATCATAAGAAAAGATGGTTTGGTTCAGTTAATATATGCGAAAAATACCAGGAACCTCATGCCAGAATATTAGTATTATTAAGAAAAGGTGGTTTGGGCTAGTTAACATGCCAGTAATAATAAGAAAAGGTGTACTGATCAAGTTAATAAATTAAAAAGTTCAAGTAATTTGATCCATTTAATAAAAGCATAAAGCTAAAAACCCCGTGTCAATCACCATTCGACAATGTGACTTCGTCCAGTTAGTAAATGCAGAAAAACGTACACTTCTTGTAAGTAACATAAGGTAGTAATTGAACAAAGTGATTTGATCCAGATGATACAAGTATAAAACCAAACACATCATGTAAATATATGAAGCAAGTTATATGATCTAGTAAATGCACTTAAAACAAACATCTCATGCTAGTAATCATAAAACAATATGAATTGATCCAGTTAATAGGAATATCAATCCAGAAATCTTATACCGGTAAGAATATAATACGGTGGTTTAATTCAGTAAAGCTAAGTACAAAACTAAAACCATTACGCTCTTAGTATGAAAGTGAACGTAACAAGTAACTTTTCTTTAAACTTATAATTTTTTCTTATCCATTAGTTACGTGTAGCATGGCCTGGAAAGTGACCCTATAGAAAACTAATAAAACATTTCTACTGGGTTTCAGTAGTAGCGACTGAAGCACAAGATCTAGCTTCCCTGAGTGCTTGTACGACTCATACCTTCTAAAGAATTAATATTATTTAGTAAACTTATTTTGAAACTTTAGTGATTATGAACTACGTCACTTTCTGAGTTGTGGGTAATGCATTTGCAATTATTTTTCAAAACGATTTTTGATGCCATAAAACTGAAATGACCAAGATTCCTTTGCTAACTTCTATCAGGCAGACGGTAGCACTGCCTATGTTAGGATGGCTTGGATTTTTCACCAAAATGGTACTTTAAATATTTCCTCAATAGGTCATCAGAGCTTTAAATACTGTACAGTGTTTCCTTTTATAACAATATCTATGTAATCACTGAGTCACAAGTTCTGGGAATATCTGGAAATATCACAGCAAAAAGTATGAATTTATTGTTCTTCTTTTTTATTACATGATAACTCAAAACCCAAAACAGTGGTGTTAATCATCTTCACTGAAATGACAAGCTTTTAGAAGTATTATTAACAGTAGTAATAAAAAAATTATAATTCTATAATGTAAACGATGTTATCATTACCCCCTGAAGTTATCTTTCTTACAGAACTTTGGTTTTCCTATAAAAAACGTAAGGTCAGGGTGAATAGTAGATAAGCAATAGATATTACAGTTGTAACTTCATTGTATTTAGAACTTTGTTATAAATAAAACTTTCCCATGTCTATTGAAACGCTGCATTAAATACAAGCAAACGAGAAAAAAGCTTTTCAAAAAAGGAAGTAAATGTAGGAATGGGTAATATCAATCCTTCAAAAATAATGCAAACAAGATAGTACGGATGGCATTTGAATCATAGCTACATAATAGCACAGGCAAGAATTAACATCTGGCAATATATATAACTATTCAATCGCAATTGAGTTTAATTTATCCTATTTTTGTCTGTTAACATTCCACTACATTGTTTGTCTCTTCCATGATGATGATGCAAATACTATCCCTACTATCTTGTTTGAAATGTTTTTGAAGGATTAATATTAGCCATTTTTATATTTACTTCCTTTTGTTTGAAAAGTTTTCTTCTTTACTTGTTTAACTTCTACAAATGATTTGACTCTGTCTAAATTTCCAAGCTCTTTTTTCATATTTACATATATATATCAACATTACAAAATTCAGTAACCGAAAGTGCTATTTTTCTTATATCTTATTTAGTCTCAAAATATTTTTTGTGAAAAATATAATATAATGAACATACAAAATTATACGAAGGTCTAAATAAATGTTGAAGTGGCATAATTTTGCAGATTTGGCTAATGAGAAACCCCTACAGCTTTCTAGGTCCAACAGACAGACTGTTTATTTACGACAAGTAGATCTGGACACCGCAGGAGTTTACAGGTGCGAAGTTTCCGCTGAAGCCCCGATGTTTGACACGGTATCTGCCAAGAAGGAAATGAAGGTATTCGGTACGTTGTCTGACGCCATTTAGAGTTATTGATGATATTGCTTTCATCATTACGAGCATGTTTACAAAAGAAAGGAAATATTTTACAACTAGTTTAATCTTAAGCACTAAATAATGTTATTCGACATTCACATATTATTTGTTTGTTGTAGAGCAACGCCACATTTAGCTATGTGCTGTGTCCACCGCGGGGAATCGAACCCCGAATTTTAATGTTGTAAGTCGCAAACCCATATGGATATGAGTATTCAATATGTCTCACACTTTTAATAATGAGGTGCTGATTCGTATTGAAACATGTATTTTTTAAGAATGTATAGAAGGATTTCAAGTATATATAATATATAGTCCTTGTTGAAACGTAGCTTGACAAGAATAATTCCATTAATCGTGTTTTTTTTTCTTTTTAGTAAAACGTATTTCAGTAATGTATGAAGGAAATGGTATCGATGAAACATAAAAATTTAGTACTTCAATAAGAATAATTATTATGGGATGTCTGAAGCCAAGAATTAAATACAACAATTAAATTAACACGAATAAAAATGAGGTAACAAGACAGCAGCTCTAAGTTACTCCTCCTAATTTGTTATATTTCGTTTCACTTGAATCGGAAAGCTTCAGGTGTTTCAGTAAATAGCTGATAACAAATGGAAGAAACGGTACTTTGGTATTCATCTATGTGAGCATGACATCAGTAAGACCATCTTTTGTAACAGCTTTATTTGACAGAGTTAGACCACAAAACATCAACTAATGTCGTTAATATTTAAATACTTGGTTTATCCTACTGCCACAGAAATTTTCTATTTTAAATCAACTGGCAGGCGGGTTTTTCAGCATGATGAGACTTGTCTGAATTTATCTAATTAGCTGAGCCAATTTCTTAGCACTCAGACCGATGTATTCTACAAACTGATTTGACGTTTCTGACAAGTTAGGGCTTTACAAAGCTTATCTTTAATTACTTTATTTTTTTTTTATTTTTATACCTACTTTAATGAAAAAGTAAAAGAGATAAAGTGCGTCAGAAGTTTTAGCATACATGACTGTGATTTATGAAAGAAGAGAGGGGAAATAAATTTAGAAAATTAATGAAAATTAAATTCGTACGATCTCTTAATGACTGAGAACAGGTGTTTTCCTCTAAGGGTTAACTATGTGGAGGACAATTAATATTGTACCAATGTATGTTACATATGTTAACATAGATTAACATTGTACCAATGCATGTTGAATATGTTGACATAAATCAACACTACCAATGTATGTTGTATGTGGTAACATAAGTTATGTTATATAAACTTACCAAATAAAACTGTATAATGTTTAGTTGTCTATATGTTGTGATGAAAATGTGATATTTAATATTAGAAATATAACTAATGTGTGTAAGTTATCTTGAGGTTTTCCAAATCTGATCAGCACAATATACAATAAAACACCGTATTCAGTAAAACTTGGATTCCGTACTTTAATAAATAATAAAAGCGAAAAAATGCATTTATATTTCTTCATGGGAAATATTTATGGAGCGTAAAAGAAAGTAAAACCGTTCCGTTAAACTTAATATTCCCTTAGTTTGAGTATAATAATGTGCCATGTAAATACTGTAAACAAACCTGAAGGATAATACTATCCGTAACGTAACTCGTATCTTACTTGACATTGTTAACAAAATTACACAGTGGGCTATCTGCATTGTGCGCTCCACTGGTATCGAACCTCGGTTTTTAGTATTATGCATATGAAGGTTTTTGTGTGTAACTGAAGTTCCAAAATATAGTAACACTGTTAAATCCTTTTCTTTAGGAAGTACAAAGTCGAGTTGAAAATACAAATTTGTGTTTATATATTGTATATATTTTTGTTAATATAGAAAATCTTTATTAAGTTTTCAATTTTTAAAAACATCATTATGATACTCTCGAGATTTACACAAAGAAAATATTTTTCTTGTAGTCTTAGTCTAATTGTTAACTATAATGTAGTTGATGAAACCAGAATAAACATGAGTCACGTTAATGATGAATATTTAACACTTCACACAAACGATTAAAATGATGAGCTATGTTAATAAATATTGTTATCAGATTTTGAAAATAAAGTAGTACGCATTTTCTATACATAAAATCGAGAGCATTACATTTCAATACCGTAATAACTCCAGTAATAAAAAAACACTAACTTGTAAGTACTTGTAGAATCAAATACAGAAACTGCTTTAAAAAAAGTGTAATATTTCTAGTTTAAAATTATTCAGTCTAATTCGTCATTTTCTTTTGTACATTAATAAAAGAATTCATTCAAGTCCTACCAAACAGCAAAAGCTATCATTTTTCTATTTATCCAACTAAATAATTCAACATTAAAAGTAAAAAAACTGATTTTAAAGGCTTTCTTTACCAATGGCTTACAAAACGAGACAAAAGTATAATCTCTGATTTAAAACTCTTCAGTTTATTTTGCTTTTTTTGTGCATTAATAAAATAATCTTACAGTAATAATTTTGCGATTTTCTGTGGTCTAAATCAAAGATATCATTGCTTTTGTTGCTGTTTTTCTTTTTACTTTCAAAAGAAAGCACATAACTCAGTTTTAATACATTTTAATGCTAATGACTTAAATAGGTTCTGAAAATATAAACGTTCGATTTCGATAATTCCATGAAATGTATACAAAAGATAATTATATTGTTCAAACAAAATTCCCAGGATGAGAAGTCTTCCGTGAGCTCTGTAGATAAAACGATTGATATATCACTAACGTGGAGTGAGACATTTAAAGAAAGAGTAATCTCTTTTAAGCAAGGGAAGGAGGAGGATATAAGCAGTTTAAGTTATTCATCATTATTCAACGACACATAACAATGTTTCAGCTCTACCATCAGAAGCACCTAGGATATCGGGAAAGAAAGGAAAGTACAGGATTGGAGATACCGTTTCTGTGAACTGTACCTCGGCAAAGTCGAGACCCGCCGCCAGTTTACGATGGTACATCAACGACCAACAGGTACGTTTATTAATGGGCTATAAATGGTTAACTGTGGTCTATTTCAACGACCAATAGGTACGTTTATTAATGGGCTATAAATGGTTAACTATGGTCTATTTCAACGACCAATAGGTACGTTCATAAGTGGTATATGCATGGTTAACTGTGGGCTATATCAATGACCAACAGGTACGTTCATAAGTGGGATATGCATGGTTAACCGTGGGCTATATCAATAACCAGCAGGTACGTTTATAAGTGGGATATGCATGGTTAACTGTGGGCTATATCAATAACCAGCAGGTACGTTTATAAGTGGGATATGCATGGTTAACTGTGGGCTATATCAATGACCAACAGGTACGTTCATAAGTGGGATATGCATGGTTAACCGTTATATCAACGACAAACAGATACGTTTATAAGCAGGCTATTCATAGTTAAGTGTGTGTTATATCAACGACCAACAGGTACGTTTATAAGTGGGATATACATGGTTAATTGTGGGCTATATCAATGACCAACAGGTACGTTTATAAGTGGGATATGCATGGTTAATTGTGGGTTATATCAACGATTAGCAGGTGAATTTGCTTGTGGGCTGTGCACGATTAATTATGGATTATCCGAACGACCAAGACTATTGTAGACTACTTCCGACGACACTTTATTATGATTGTGCTATAAGTACACTTCGGTTTTTCCTTCAACTTTGTTAAGGTTGTACTTATTCCTATCAGGAATTGACTCATAACTTAAACGTAACAAATTTCTTTTTATCACTATAATCAATAACACTAGATTTAAAGCTACCTATTTTTCTTTTTACTGGTAAGCATATGACTTTCTTCCTTTGCCTCTCGTTTGGTTTATTTGATTACTCTAACATCTCCCATTCTTTATTTTCATTATATTAAACGGCTGTTTTTTATATCCATTTAATAAAAGTCAACCCGAACGCATCTGTTCCCCTTATATCGGATTAGGGAAAGGTTTCATCATTATAAGGGGTTCCATAATCTCTACAGCAGCTAAACTAAAAAGGCGGCCGACCCCTCTAATAATTTTCCAATGACTTAGAATGCTGTAATCCTTAATCCCATATAGACTAACCAAAAGTTACCCGCTTTCTCACTTCTCTCAACCCCAACCGATTTTCCTTACACCTAACTTCATAACAAGTAGGCTATGCATAGTTAACTGTAGATTATATCAAAGACCAGCATGTACTTTTATAAGTAGGCTGTGCATGATTAACTGTAGGCTATATCAAAGATCACCACGTACGTTTATAAGAGGGTTATACATAGTTAAGTGTAGGTTATATTAAAGATAGACGTTTATAAGTGGGCTTTGCATAATGAAATATAGGTTATATTAACAATGAACAAATATGTTTTTATCTGGGCTGTTAAGGGTTAATTAACTGTAGGTTATATAAAAGGCTAGTAGCTACGTTTCTCTGTGCGATGTGCATGATTAATTGTGGATTACAATGAAAAAAGAGTTGTTTTGTTTTTAGTGCTACAACTAGAAGATCACCAACCATTCAATATTTATTTTATCTTTCCTGTACCAGAAAATATTGTCAGATATTGGTAGACAGAAAATATAAAGTTATTCTTCAGTACTATGTGATTTGGTGCATGAGAAATTAATTTAAAATTTTCAGGAAATGTTAAATCTCAGTTTAAGATTATTTTTATATTTCTTCCACAAAATACACCAGTCACTTGCCTTGCTCACAAATTACAACGCTATAATGAAATTTCGAATTAAGATATCTGTTTTTGACCAAACATGAACCTAAAACATATCCAACAAGCAGCATTATACAATTATGTCCTAGTGTTATTTGGAATTTAACGTGTTTCATTGTCAAGGAACAAATTAAATGAGAGATCTATTCTAGTAATCATGGAAAGCTGTTTCCCCCAAAAATATAATATCAAAGCGTTAAAAAAAGAACCAGATGTTTTCGTTTGATGAAGATTTTAACTTATGTTACAAAGGATGTGTATAAATTCAATACATATTTTATGAAGCTAAATTTTTGCTTGTTAGTTGTTAAGCAAAAAGCTACACAATGGGCTATCTATGCTCTGCCTGTCGCGGGTATCGAAACCTGATTTTTTTGCGTTAACTGATCCACTGGGGGGCAATTAAATTTTTAGTCTTAATTAAGTATGAAGTAGTGTATACCTTGATAAATAACTGGCAGCCTACACAGTTGAAATCATAAATAATATTCAATGTTAAACTGTTTAACGTTGAATATTATTTATGATTTTAACTTTATACACAAGTGCCAAAATACTATAAGTCTACACAGTTGTTCAGTATCTCCTGAAGTCCAGTAAACGTCTCTTGCTAAAGTATTAGTAAATGCATTAATCGAAACCTGGTTGTGCATAGGTAATTGATTGTCTTTTATAGTTTAATAAAAGCACATATTCTGTAGCATTATTGTGATTATGTGATCGTCGTGTTTTAGACTAGGCGGATGTTTTTAGAAATTGATAAAAATCAAGAGTTGTTTTCGGGTTAAACGTTAGAATAAGACTGCTGAATCTGAAAACGTTTGTTACCAAGCGCTATTTTGAGTTATTGGACTTCAGTTTTGCAAAAAAAAGAAAAAGGAAAAAATGCCGCCATATAGTATTTTTATGCTATTTTTTTATATGCATTTGAATGTTACGTTCTTTTGAAAGTCTGTTGAGGGGTGTTACATGTGTAATTATGGATTATATAAATGCCCAGCGGGTACTTTTAAAGTGAGCTGTTACTGGTCAACAGTGAATCATATAAGCAACCAGTTGGTTCGTTATCAATTGGATGTGCACAGTTAACTGTTGGTTATATTACTGACCACCTAATGTGTTTCTTCAGCATTTTCTACAGTTTAATAAAAACTTGCAGTATAAAGTTTTATACGAATTGAAGAAGGTACAACTGGCTACAGGTTAGGAAAACTTCACGACCAGCTTGCTCGCTCAATTTCCAATAGTTTCGAAAATGTTGCAATCTAAGTTATTATATATAATGATCAAGATTTAACCATCTACAAGTAAGTTAAAATGTACTCCAACACATAAACCTTATAATATTAAATGTTTTCTAAAGCATAAGTATGCTAATTTGATAATGCACAGAACTACAGCAAGAATCTGCTTATTGGCTTGTCTCTAACAAAATAAATAATTAAAACATTAACCAAATCTTAAAAAGAGAAATTAATCTTGTGAGAATATCTACAAAATAGCGTTAAGTAAAGAACCTTTTTATTCAATATGAATGCTTTTCTACAGAGTCTTATTATGTAACGACACTCACATTAAAACTTGTCGATTCCCGCTGTAATATATTTTTAATAATAACTGTGTTAATCCCAGTTATATTTATTATAAGTTCTAGGACGATAAAGATTTCCTTATTTCGTATTTCGAACTTACTCCAAATTATTCACCTCACTTTTCGAAGTTACTATACATAAGAGATTCATTTCATGTATTCAGTTTTCTATTAATATTTTAATGTCACTTGAGTTTCGTTTACGACTCAAACGTTTTTTGTATTTCAATGCTAGGTTGGCCCCGAGTATGAAACTTCCCATTCCGCCATACTCAATGCTGACGGTTTAGAAAGTTCAAGCTTAAGTCTTCGTTTTGTGGTTAAAGAGCATCACTTTGTTAACAGAAACATGAGACTCCGGTGCTCGGCTACGATTCCAAGGGTGTATACCATGAGTGACGAAGAACTTGTGGTTGGTGGTCAGTTACAACACGCCTCCGAACTTCTCCGTATTAGTGAAAATGTCAGTAAAGGTACGTCTCTTTAAATGATTGGTATAAAGAAGAAGCCGTGTTTAATAGATTTGATAAAAAAAAATAAGGCTTGTTAGAGATACCTGGAAAATATGCATCATTCGTACATGTAACTTACTCTTTTGAATTCGTCAGCAGACTAGTTGTGTAAGATGAAATATCTTTGTTTCTATTATTTTCATCAAAACAGTAAGAAAAAAATAAAAGAAGCCTTACGTTTTTTTTCAAGCTGAAATTTGCAGTTTTGGTAAAATATTAAACTTTTCTTCATCCACCCAATAATAAATAAAATTTCATCTTGGTATTTCAACATAGGCATATTAAATTTGTGCACAAATACACGTTATTATTTATAACACTTAATTGATGTAATCCATTTTCTATTACATATATCAGGTCATCCCATAAGTTCTGTACGGATTTTAAATAAAGAAAACGAGTGATCAAATCTTACATTTTATTGAAATTTAATTATCAATGTAGTTTCCATGATTATCTATGACTTCTTTCCATCTACTTACAATCTTTTTAATCCCACTACTAAAAAACTCTTTCGGTTTCGAAGAGAAGAACTCTGAAATGTCAGTTTCGACCTCCTCGTGGCTTGTGTGAGTTAATCCATCCAAATGATTCTGTAAACTACGGAACAAATGGTAGTCTGAAGGAGCAAGGTCTTGAGAATAAGACGGATGAGGAATTTTCTCCCAACCAATCTTCAATCTTCTGGGTCGTGATTTTTGCAGTGTGGGGTCGTGCATTGTCCTGATGAAACACCACTCCTCTTCGATTCACTAAAACAGGCCTTTTCTCTTTAAAGCCGCATTCAAGCGCTCTAATTGCTGACAACAGACTTGAGCATTGATTGTAGCATTAGTTGGCAGCAACTCAAAGTGAATAATTCCTTTGCAATCCCACCAGATAGAGAGAGAACCTTCTTCGCATGAAGTTCCATTTTTGGTTGTGGTTGGGCCTTTTCCTCATTACTAAGTCAATGCCTACAACGTTTATCATTTTTATAAAAAATCAATTTTTCATCACCAGTCACAAATCTATCCAAAAAGGGCGAGATAAGGTCACGAGAATGAAGAGAAGAGCAGATCTGAACTCGCGATTTGCGGTTCACTCTAGACAATTCATGAGGCGCCCATTTTCCAAATTTAGGAACCTTTCCAAGTTGTTGAACGTGACGATGAACAGTTATATGGTTTGAACCAAGCAAAATCCTGCAGTATCAGTTGAAGAATTGGCAATGAACTTCAAGTGATACCACAAGGAGCATATCATCAAACTCAACTGGACGTCCTGTTCGGTCTTCATCTTCAAGGCTGAAATTTCCACTTCTGAATTTTGCAAACCATCTTCTGCAAGTTGTTTCATTCCAGCCTTCTTCTCCATAAGCTGAGTGAATATTTCGAGTCGCTTCGGCTGCAGAATTCCCTTTTTTAAACTCATAAAGCATTATATGCCTCAAATGCTCCTTAGATACTTCCATGTTCAAAGGGCTTTAATCAGTGAAATTTGAAATACTTTATTCTGTAAAATAAAATTTAATAAGTTTAAATATGCCCAAATACATATGTATGATATATAAATATTTTTTATTTCCATTAAACATTCTAAATTACTAGTAAATTTCAAAGAATTAAAATCCGGAAAGAACTTGTGGGATGACCTGATATTTAAAAATTTAATCTGTATGCAATCTTTTAGTATAACCAGACTACCTAGTTTTTGAATTTCCAAGAATCATCACATATCAACTCTGGCTGTTATTTTCAGGGATGGAACAAATATTTAATCCAGTGGGATATTATACTATCTGTTACAATCTGATCTGATATTAATTTTACAATTAAATAGATTATTGGATAGTATTTCCATCATTGGATTATCTCACAATATTATGCAGGCATGATATTACCTGGACTTGAAACATGGTTGATAGTTATAAAATTATCTGTTGTACTGATGTTTGCTATTAACCACTAAACACAGTAACATTTTCTTCAGAGTGGAAGCCCTAGTAGTCATAATAGTTGTGGATAGTCATCATGTAGTTTAAATAAATGTCACACTCGTCCATTGTGCACCACAGATGTTTATGGTACCAATAGCAAGCACAATACAACCAACGGTCTTGGCAAGGGATTGAGGGCGTAAAGCAATGTGTCATACCAAGATATGCCACATTCCCTTAAAGTGCCTACTCAAGCAGGACTGTATATCTCTGTGTATGCCCTTATTAAATTTTTAAAAGCTATGATAAAGTAACAAGTTTAATTTTAAATGCTATACTATAATGAAATGGCAGCTTATACTTATTGTACATTTTCAATATGTATGTATGGCTATGTCTACTATCTAATCTGAATCTGCTTGCAAATCTGGAAACAGGTATTTGAAATTGATATCAAATCAAAATTCTTTTTTCCACCCCTGGTTATTTTTATGTTTAAAAAATTGTATTATCACTGTTATGCACTTAAATGTGTCCCATAATTAGGTTTAGGTACAAATAACTGATCGTAGTATGAGTGAAACTAGTAGATGAGTCAACAGTTTTCCTATCATTATGTAGCAGGACTCAATTACTGGTGTGTGTTGCAGTTTTGCTAGTAAAAGTTAGAAGTTACAATAAAAAATTGCTAGTACATATTCTGTAAGGAATATTTGCAGATTATTGTGTTGATTATTATTACACCTGTGATACCTCCATTTCATTTATTTATCCTGTAAGATTCTGAGTATAGAAAGTTATTATAATTGTGATAACAAGATTGTTTCACATGCCGGGTTTTGCAATCAACATTTGAGCTACACAGTACACCCAAGTTAAGCCAGGAAATAAGATAGTAAAACTGCAACTTGTTTGATTTGTTGCCAAGGTAATTAATACATGGACTACCTGGCCAGAGTCATACATCTGACTTCTGCAGTTTTGCTAGCAGTATGATTAGAAATACTGTACCCAAGGGGTTGATCCTTGGATGTAATAATAAAATAGAAACTATATTAACTTCAAATGTTTTTCTACACTCCTCGTAAATATTTTAGTATAGCATTGGTATAATGTTAACTGTTGATCCAGGTGCTTGTGGCCTACATACATCAGTTTCTCCCAAAATTAAACATTGTTTATGGTTCATGAAACAGTTAAAATAAAAGTGTTACATGTAATTAAAATGGGTTTGATTTGAAAAGAAAAACATGACACAGAAGATTTGTAGATATTAATAGGATATATAACACTTAATGGAATGGTTGATTATGACAGTTAATTTTAGAGAAGATTGTTGTTGCTAGTAGTGCTCCAAATTTGCTAGTGGAAAAAGAAAAAGCAACTGTTTTCTAGTGCCTTCAAAAGTTCAGGCTGTGGCCTACATTGTTGAATTTTTGGGAGTATTGACATTGATGAGCATTAGTGCTGAATTCAATACATTCTATATATAATAATGAATGCAATATTCAATGTTGTTATGTTCAATTGGTCAATGATATGGAACATATTCATATTAGAGTCCCCTCCAAGTTTTCACTTTTGTACTAATGCTTATAAAATTATGCGTAACATGACTTAACAACCAATATACATCGTTAGATTATATGTAATTCCCAAACAGAATTGATGCACAAGTCAAAGTTATTATTTATAGAAGTTAACTGTATGATGAAGTAAGTATATAATGAGAATATAAGTAATGATTGTGTACCTACAGATGACTGTATCAGAAGGAAGAACCCATGATAATTCAATTCTTCAAAGTTCTCCTTACCAAGAAAAGTTGTCTTTCCTTGTACAAAAGTTACAAATCTAATTGACTAGAATGGAACAGATGTGTCCTATGACAAGAGGACCATTTAGTTGTGATTCAGTTATGATGGTGGAAGTGATAACCATCATCATAATTACATGATTGTATATTGGCAACTTTGTCATTCAAGTGAGAAAGATGATAAAACAGTTGTTATATTAGTTGAACCATTTGCACAATCATATTCAGGTTTCAGTATTGAACTGGAACAGTTTCTTGATCAGACAAATTCAATAAATCAAAATATGACACATATATCCTCTTTAGATTGTTCAAAAACAGTATCATCCTCATTATGAAAATTATTCCAAGTGTAATATGGTAACATATTAGTAACATGGTATGTTTTTAGTAATGGTGGTAGAGAAGATTATCCGAAACATGGTTATATAATAGTATCGTTGTGAAACAAAAATAAATACAAAAATATGTGAGCAACATAAAACACTGTTCAGTACATTACTAAAATAATAGAACAATTTAATCCCAGGTTTCACTATAATTTCTTTAGTTGTTATATTAACTTCAGTGTTCAAGAAGTGTGCTCCCAAAAGTATGTACATTTAATTATAAGTTCCACCTTCATGAATGGCAAATCAAAAAATTCATTACTTACAGTAAGTTAAGAATATTTAAGTGAATAAATAAACTGCATCATGAGACAGTCAACTTCATGCAAGTCAAGTTTTGCTAAATTTCAGTTAGTTATTTGCTTTGAATAATTTTCTCACTGTAACTAGATCTAATTATGAATAACCAAAGTCCTTAGTCTTTTTATGTTTATTAACTGTATTTAGACTTAACTGGTCTCTGTACCAATGAAGTGGTATTGCACACACATATATTTATAACACATGATTGTCTGTTGAGTAATAACCCAGTTACAAACAGTGTTTATTTACAGTACCAGGATAATGTAGTTCTTAGTCTTTACATAGGTCACCAATTTAAGAAAATTCACATGTAAAACGAGGAGACAAAAATTGAAATTTACAAAACAAATGTTTTCAATTCTCCAAGAACTTCATTAATTTTTTGTAATATAAGGATAGCAATTACAATTGCTTTTGGTTAATACACAGTCTTAATTGAATATAAACATTTCAAGATAGGGTTTTGCAATATAATATAGCACTTCACAGATTAACATTGTTATTTAACTTAATTTCTTGGCTGCGTTAATCCCTTAACATATGATCCAGACTCTAGCATATTAAGAGAGAAACTTATGGTGTAACTATAGCTTAGTTCATAGTGGAGGATGCTACTAGTTTCGGGCTGAGTGTTAACTCTTGCTAACTAACTTGGCTTGGCTGACTACATATGCTAACCACCTAGTGACAACTTTTGTATTCCTCTTTTCTAATGTAGTCATTGCTGATCATCTATGAGACAATGAACTTTCAATTACCAGACTAGTCCAGTTATTTCTAGTGTGGGGTGATGCACAAACTTAGCTAAAGAATCTCCCCCTCCCCTGAGAACTTGTCATAAATGTCTCACAGCACAGTTCTAATTGGGACTCATAATTCGCCAATCCTTGGATGTTTGCCTAATCATATATTACTCTTGATTCTTAATATGAAACAAAAGTCTCCATTCATTGTAAAGTTTTGCTCTTAACTTTTAGTTTATCATTCATTATGTGATCTAAAAGGAAGATGTTATTAACTAGCTGTGTCAGCAATGTGCTCTTTATATTCAGTTCACTTCCTTATGGTGATAACCAATTCTTCTTAGATAAGTTAAAGTATACTTTTCATCTTTCAGACCAACAGTAATGTCAGAGAAATACCTCTTTGGGTAATTAATATCTGTAGATACCTTCTTTATCAAATCCAGCCAAGGTTTTTGGTTTTTTCCAAACTACAATCTTAGTTAATGTTTTATAATTAGATGTATGATGTTTCTAACCAAGTTATTTGGTATGAGAATGTTTCTCCTATTGTCAGTCTTTTCGTTGACCAAACTCCCTAGCACTTTGTACAAGTAAACTCTTAAAGTGGAACATTTAAGAAGGGTAATATTATTATTGTTTCACAAATGATTTTTATCTGTTTTGAAATAAGGTACATGGTCAAGTTTATCTCATTACCTTGGTTATTATTATAACTTGCAAACCACCAGTGATCTAAATTTGACTACCATCTATTCCGATATTATTGAGATAAGTTTATAATATTTACAGAATTTTTTTTATTATTATTATAGAAATCTTAAGAAATGGATGAGAACAAAGATGTGAATGTGGAAAAAGAAAAGAATGTGATGAAAAATATTCCTGTAATAAAAAAAGGATCATTGGACAGTGTGAAAGTTGATTTAGGTGACCAAAATGAAAAAAAAGAAAAGAGTTTTATTCAGATAGATCCATCTTATGCACCTAAAGTTTTAAGAAAGAACAGTGCTCTCCGAAGAATCAATTCTGAAGGAAGCAATGAAGCAAGAGTTTTAGTTTTGTACACTGGAGGTACAATAGGAATGGTTAGAACAGAAAAAAAAGGTAGGAATATAGGTAAAGTTCAAAGCAAAATCATTTCACTGATATAAAATTTGATTCTTGTAGTACTACTGTGCTATAGGTGAATTTAAAAACATTTTATTGGATATAATGTTTAATTCCTGTTGTATTAATGTAATGTAGGTTAAGCTAAAAAAAATTTTGCTGTATATAATATGGTTAATACATGTAGTAACATACTGTTGGTGAAGTTCAAAAAAAATGTTCACTGGATATAACATGGTTGATGCATGTAGTAGTAATATATTGTAAGTATAGCTCAAAAGAAAACATTTTACTAGATACCATGTTTGAATCTTGCTACAAAAATGTGTCCCTCAGAATTCTTTTTTGTTAATGATTTATACAGGAATGTAAGCTTTAAACATTATGAATTGTTATCAAGTAAAACACAGGAATAAAGTATGTTAAAAAGAAATTTAGAAAGTGATTGATCCCATTTCCATTATAGAGATAGCTATTAATATTCCAGAAAAAAAAAGTGATTGGTTGAAAATTATCTTACATTGACCTATGAATCTATTCATTGATCATTTACTTGTCCCAAGTGAAGTTTTTTGCTAAAGAATCCTTGATTGTTATGTTATGTTTTAGTGAAATGTCTGAACATCTGAAATAGTGCTCAAGACATCAAGTGGTATCTGCAACTTTTTCAAGAAAAAGCAGATCAATTTCAAAGTAATTGATGAGTGCATATATTGTAACCAAACTTCTGCTAAAAGTGCACTGTGAAGACAGTTTAACCCTTTCACCTTGACCTACTTACAATGTTAGTGGGATATGTAACTCTTAAATTTCTTTCCAAAAATAAAACTAGTTGATGAAATTGTTTGGAATGCGACAGAAATTATCCTCAGGGCAAGTAATTTCAAAAAACAAAAATATTTAATATTTATTTTTTCTATTATTTCTATGAAAAAATTGTTATTTATTGTAATTATTTGCACTCTCATTTTGAGTAGTTCAAGGGCAAAATGATTTTCATGTTTACTGTGAAAATACTTTTTTTTTAATCTCATGGTTTTCAAATTTCATTTGCATAACCTCTAAAATCTCCTAAATGAATATCAAAGTTTTTAAGGTAAATGTTTATTTTCATTTCTCATTTTCTCTACCATATCATTAACTGTATTAGCATCAATGTACAGCACAATGAAATGTTTAAAATTAAGAAACATAAATGCTGTATTCCAAAATATACTTACCTCTACTGACACCGTAGCTATTTCTTGATCTCCAGAGTTTCCACTGTTTGCCCATCTAACCATTGCAAATGCTTGCTCCAGGCTTTTTATACCCTACTCGAATGCCCTTGGCAAATTCTGATTTGCAAAATTATCCACCAACTTCGATGCACTCTTTATCCAGGCACTGTATTTAAGCATCTCATTCAGATAATGTAATCACTTTTTCTCGACAAAGCATTTGGCACAAGTTTCTGTAATCAGGAGTGCTGTAATTATTCACAATTTATGTTGTGATATTGATCGTGGTTTGCGTTACTACAGTTATATCTTCATATATTTATGAATTATTTTATTACTACTAATAATAATTATAAAAAAATATACCAACGGGTATGAATTCCCGAGTTAATGTTTCTACTATGGAGGCTATTCAGACCTCTTCTCTTCCACCTCTGTTATCTGGTATTTGTCGACGGCCAGGGGAGAGGTCATTCAAGGCTGTCCGTGATATGATCAAATGCGAGATGGACACATATTTATGGACCATGGGTGTCTCTCTGGGGGGGTTTCGCGGTGGTTTTTGCAAATGACCAGAACCAGCTGGGGAGAATTTAGACTCACTTTTTCCAGCTCCTTCTTTTACTAGGTTTGACCTCAACCGAGGATCATTTTGATCAGCCACCTCCAGCCCCTTTTTCTTCAGTTGGTTCCTCAGGTTGGTGAGGTTTTGAGAGTCTCTCCTATTGCATTTGACTCTACCCCCTCCTTGTTGGCAGAAAGGACAAGTGACTGCTTGATTTTTCCTCATCCTTCTGATATTGCTGTTCAGGCTGGGAGATTTGCCTTGTCCCCCCCACATTTTTTCAGAACATCAAGAGGAGGTATATTTAGATTCTCAATGAATGGACCCCGTTTTGGACCTGGGGGGGAGTCTCGATTGGAACCTATAATCACTTTAAACAGATCAATGTTTCTTGGATTCATCTTACTTTCACGAATGTCCTGAAGTTTTTTTTTTATCCAACTTTTGTTAGAAGCCTATAAATGTTCCCCTCAGCAATTTGAGGACAAGTTGGATATTTTACTGACATCTAGCTCAGTCAGATTGACTTCTTCATTTCTTTCTCTGGTTTCCTGGCTTGTTTGTTGTGGAGATTTATTGAGTAGAGATTCTTTGTTAGAAGATATTCATTTACCATCTTCTGCCCTCAGGGAGTTATGGGAAGGTCTCTTTCTCCATCCCATGTTGTTTGTTGGAATTCCAGAGATGTTAGATTCAAGATTTGATTCAGCTTGTATACTTTCTTCATCGTCGTTGGCTTCTTGCCTTTCTGGTGCAAATTTGGGAGTGTCGATTCATAGTTTTTCCCAATCCCCTCATTAGGTTCCCAGGTCTATTGGTTCCCATAATGTAATCCATCCGTATTATCAAGGATTTTCGGCTGAGGTGGACCGTCAACAACAGCGTCGATGTCTCTCCCATGGGTGAGGGAGCAGAGGGAGTATGTTTACATCACTTTCTGGACATATGGAGTTTTTCACCAGGGATCTATGGGTATTCCATATTCTGGATTCAGGGTTGATCATTCAATTTACATCACCTCCACCTTTATCTGCATAACCTGTTGCTTTTTCACCTTTAACGTATTCATAATGAGTGGAGCTTTATTCCCAGGCTATAAGAGAATTGTTAGTCAAAAGGACAGTAAAGAGGGTTGATCCAGTTCTTCCAGAATTTTGTTCCCATCTATTCGTTGTACCCAAGAAGACATGAGATTGGCATCCAATCATCGATTTGTTTCAACTTAACCAATTTTTAAATCCTCCCCTCTTTCCTATGGAATCCTTTCTTAACGTATGGTTGTACTTTGCACCAGGGCTCTGGATGACTAAGTTTGATGATGCTGAAGCTTATTTTCATATTCTCATAGCAGAATCTACCCAGACGTTTCTCTGCTTTATGCTCAAGGGTCAGGTTCTGCAGTTCAGGGTTCTATGTTTTAATCTTGCATCAGCACCTTATGTCTTCTGCAGAGTTGTTCAAGCTTTTTCTCGTCATCTTCATTCCTTGGACCTGTAAACACATCATTATATAGATGACTGGCTTCTTCTGGCACCATCCTGTTAATTAGCGGAACAACACTTTCAGATCTCCATTCAGAAGCCACAAAAGCATGCTTCCTTAACCGACTAAAGAAATTTATTCTGTCACCGATGCAATATCTGGCCCATCTGGGTGTGTTTTTCAATACTCAAATCATTTGTGCTCAACCAACCATTATCAGGCTTCAAACCTTGGAAAGAGTTGTCAGGCTTTTACTTATGTTTCCTTCTCCTACTGCACGGATGTTTCTCTCTGTTTTGGGGATATGGGCATCCCTTGAGCCTCTTCTTCCTTTGGGATGAGCACATAGGAGGTCCCTTCAATGGTCACTGCACAACCAATGGATTATGCATTTTGATCCTTTGGGTCATCCCATCTCATTGGGAATAGTGGTTGGATTGGAACAACACCACTTTTATGGTACCCATTCCACCACATCGTCCCGAGATCCATCTGTTCACAGTGGCATCTCTTCAGGGATGGGAACTTATCTTCAAGGTCAGGAGTTCCAGGGTATTTGAACGGAAGACTAGTCTACCTTCCATGTCAACATTCTCAAACTCCTTGAAGTACACTGGGCAATGTTTTAAGGTCTGTCTCTCTTGAAGGGAGAAATTGTCATGATATATTCTGTCAATTTCACAGTGGTATCTCAAATTTCTCGTCAAGGTGGCACATTTTCTTGAGACCTTGTCTTTATACCTTGTTTCTTCTCCTCAGGACTTATTCCTATCATATCAGTCTTTTAGCATGTCATGTTCCAGGAGTGATGAACTTAACTGCAGATCACTTGTCTTGATCCAGCCATATTCTCCTGATGGAATGGATGCTACATCACAAGGTTTTTCAGTGGATTTGCTCTCAGTTCTGGTCTCTAATACCTCATGCTCAAGCATTGGCAGCAGATGTGTTCAGTCAAGACTGGACAGGCTTACAGCTATATATACCTTTCCCCAATTTCGCTATTGACCTGGATTCTGACTATGGTTCACTCCATTCCCAATTGAGTTAACTTGGTTGCACCATATTGGCCAGCTCAAACATGGTTTCTGCTTCTTCGGTATCTATAGGTATATTTTCCTCTACCTCTTCCACATTGACAGTCACTGAGACAACATCAATGAGACATTCTCCACCCAGATGTTTGGAAACTCAGTCTTCATGCTTGGAAGTTATGCAGTCCTCTGCCCAACATAAGAGTTTAACTTCTGCAGTTTCTCTGTATTTAACTAAATCTTTCTGTAGGCTAACCACAACCATTTATCAATGGAACTGACATACTTATTGTCAATTGTGTATTAAAGGAATTTCAACCCTTTTTCATTCCAAAGTATCTACCATATCCCGTTTTATGACTTGGGTATTTGAGAGGGGTTTTGCTTTGGTTACAGTGGCTTTATATAAGGCATCCTTATCCACCATCTTTTGGTATTACAAATATTGAATGTTTTTGAATTCTCAGTACTAGCAGGTCTATTCAAAACCATTCATATTCTTCAACCCAGATGACCTTTTCAATTACCAAATTGGGATTTTACAGTTGTTTTTTATTTTTTTTTGTCATTGGTTGGATTTGTTTGCAATTCATGTGCTTTGGACTCTTTATCATTTCACATTTGTCCTGCTTTACTCCAATAGGTCTTTTCTTCCCAAGACTCTGACAACTAGTTAAAAAGGCACTCTTACTGAAC